AAAAGTATAGTACTTTATATTTCCTCTTAAATATGTTTCTCAATAAATATGTTTTAAACAATAATTGTTCTGTTTAGCCTTTATGACCTGCTTTAAAGATTTTTGGGGGTTTGAAATGTGCTAGGATGAGGTGAGATGCTTTCCTAAGTTTGTGGGAGAAATTGAAACTTTCCCTTTAGATTTTAGCAATGTAGGCCCAGATATCCTCTTGGCACTGCTGGGCAAGCTGGAAAGGCTCTTCATTGGAATGAAGATGCTGGCAGACAGGATCTTAGTCTGGGCTTAGGGAAGAAGAAAAAAAAAATTATGTTTTTCTCACCTCATTGTTATATAACTCATAACCTTCAGTTATATCTCAACTACTACTCAGCAAGGTCAGAGGGCTGAAAGAGACTAGTAAATAGCTACAAAGCTCTCAGTTTTGTAGTGTTGACAGAACCTATACAATCAATCAAAAAAGGCCTACTAGTGTAAAGACTTTGGATAGATTTTTTTGTACTGCTGTGTTATTCAGAAACCAAAAGCAGGCTATAGTATCTTGCTCTCCTATACTTGCATGCAAACTTCTTTATTAATTCTCTTTACGGTATATTAAACTTAGCATGAAAACTGTTTTTACATAATGTGAAGACAAAATGCAGAAGAAAAAGTCAGGATGCTTTCAAACTTCGCAGACAAATTTCAGGAAGGATACTATTACTCTTGAGGTCTCTGTGGATGATTGACTTGGCGTGTAAGTAACTGAAAAACAAAACATCATTTTAACCTGAGTAGGGCTAAAGGACTGTGGCCTCAAAATCTACAGAACATATTTCGGGGTGTAAAGACTTATTTAGAATCATGATACAATTGAAAACTGTACACTGTACATTGCGATAACCCCTTGACATAGTATTAAAATAGATTGTAAATGAATTTAAGATTATAGGAACATATTACTGTTAAGGTACAGCCAAAATCTTGTTTTCTATTAAAAGACTTTGCTTTATCTTTTACTAGTTACCAATACAAACCTTTCACTCCAGTCATGCCTATTTATCCATGTCCTTTAAATATACCTTGATATTTAAGTGCATCTCTGTATTCAATGCTCCCCTACTATACCCATCCTTCCAAATCAGCTTTCATTCTGTTTTCCACTATTCATACTCATCCTTTAAGACTGAACACAAATTCTAACTCCTGGGTGAAGTTTTTCCATGACCAATTCAATGGAAAGTGATCCTTCATTTTTCAACTTATATAGTGATTATCATAGTAACAGTCTGATTCATGTGGCCTTTTTCTTAATGTTCCTATGTTAGCTTCCTATTTAGAATGTAAACTGAACTAGAATATGAAAGTTTGATTGATACATTAAAACTATTTTAAAAGGTCATATCATATACTCTTAAAATACTTTCTTAAAGCTAGTGAGGAGTAAATTTCCTCTATAATGGCCACAGTGGGTCTATTTTAAAGTCAATGATAAGTTTAAATCATCTGTTATCCCTAAAAACTGCTTTAGTTGCATTCACTGAAGGAAAGGGCTGTATCTAGGTTACTTCTGTTTGTCCCCAGTGCCTAGTATAGTGCCTGGCACGTGTGGTAAGTGTTCAATACATGTCTGCTGAATCAATGGGATGGGAATCTGCTGAATCGATGGGATGCATATAAGGTCCTAGTCAAGGTTATTTTTCTTCATTTAATACTGGAGAGAACATATGTATGTATAACATTTCTGAAATCTGACAATGACCATTAAGAAATAAGTTTTGTCTTATAATGAGAATTTAAAATCCAAATGGTATATTCAAAATTATGTAATGAAAACTTAACAATGGACGATTTGCAAATAATTGAGATTATTCACATCTCATCTTCGTTTAAACTTCCTCATTCTCCCCAACATCTTGATTTTAAAACTATATTTTTAGTTGAAATTTTCATTTCAAATTACTATTTATCCAAAGTAACCCCTTATTCTCCAATTACTCTCTCATAGTATACTGTTTATTTCTTTCACAACATTTACTACAATTGAAAATTATCTTGCTGTCATGGCTTTAGGCCCAGTGTTCTACATCACATTGTCACTCTTACATCGAAAGAAAATGTGATGTCAATCATAGGTTTCACCCGCTTAGAAAGTTCTGCAGTGACACAGAAAGGTAAAAACAGGTGGAGATAAATAGGTCCCAATCAAAAGATTTTTCAAGATGGGGAGACAATGTCTCCATTAGAAAGAAAGGGGGATAAATGATGATGGTGTTGGTGGAGCTATATCCTGCAATCAGTGAGACCTGGGATCTAGTGCACAGCTAAAGGTATTGGTCTTTGAAAAGAGGTTTTCTCCTATGAGATTTTAAAAAAAGACAACTAACCTAATGGGCTTCAACCATATGAAAATATGGAGGCATGTTAAAATTAAAAGAAGGGAAGATAAAAGTGTTTTCGTGATGGATAGCGTCAATCCTTTCAACAAATTCAATGCAAAGAAGTTTAGCAAGAATCAAGTAGACAGAAATGTAACTGGAGGGTTGAAGAGGGAAACTTTCTGACCAGGAAGGTACTAAATAATTAACAAGACATAAATGTGATTGTTGAGCTAGTGATACAACCAGAGTAGAAGTCGGATACCATAACTCCATTACAAGCCAAGTTGCAACAGCTGCAACTTGAAATATACCACTTTATACTTGTGTCATCTTTTATAATTTACAATCTGCTTTCCCAATTTGCATCTCATTTACTAATTCTCTTTCTATTTCTATAACAAAAGCAGCAAAGAGTAACTGCTACCCTAAATAATTCTATGTAGGCTGACACTAAAACATAATTTCCGAAGCACCAACAAGTACCAAAATGGAAGTTGCCAAAAAAAACACATAACTGATTGAAGGTAGGGAAGGGAACAAGAATAAATCAACTTTACTTTGCTATAAATAATATAGAAGGCTATCCATTATTTAGGATAATTAGATTCGACCTCCTTCTAACCTTTTTAAGATATTAAGGAGAGCATTACAGGTTTACAAAAGTACTAAGAAAGAACAAACATGCTATCAACCAAATAAACATTACATTCTCTGGACAGGTTTCTCTTAGGAGTCTCTTTCCTTGAAGAAAAAGTGTCCACCTACAGAATCATTTAATCTTGAAGCTGTAAAATCATCTGGCAAAATTTGTTCTCTATTTCTTTCAAGCTCTTTTCCAAGATTCAGCTTTTCAACATTCTTTTAGAGCATAATATGATGCTCCAAACTAAATACTTCAGATTTGGTCTGACTAATAACAAACTAGAGTGAGATTCTTATCTTCATCTCCCTGTGGTGGGCATAAAAAACTTATTAAATCAGACATTATTGTGATTACTATGGCAGCCATAGTCACTCTACTGACTCCTATTAAGATTATATTCACTTACAACTCTAGAATAATTCTTCTCGAACTGCTCCTATAAAACATTTTCCCTATCCTACATTTATTTATATACTCCTCTTTTTGGATTTGGATATGATTTTTGTATTTTGTAGACATGGCCTATAGTTTCAGCTTATTAATATTTTAACTTTCACTAAAAAATAGGTTTTTACAAATCAGCATGCTAATGATGCCCTCGTATAAGTTACTTCTAAATATGCTTGTCATATTCAAGAGAAGACTGAAGACAGAAATCTCCTTCTAGTGTGCTATCTTCAGGTATGAGCATTTATCCAGTATGACCTGGTTAAATCCTGACACTCATGGTGCACCTCTCAATCTTATCCTTACGAATACCATGAGGGCTATCATTCAAATGCCTTGCTGATATTACGGCTACACCATCTGGCTAATTTATCAGTCTAGTCTACTTGTCAAAGCCCCTAGTGTCTCTCACTTAAATTTATTATTTTCTTGTATTTTTAACTATTTCTAAAAACCACAGAACTGGCCTACTTAGATAACTGCATTTCACAATTCCACAAAAGTTCATCAGACTTCAGGTACCAAGCTGAATCTCTCCTCAGACACCCTTGCCACTCATGGAGCCCACTGGACGGCAGGCATGACAGTGATGACACAGTGTCAAATTATAGTCTCTCTTCTTCTTTGATGCCCCTCTCCTCCCTTCATAATCACAACGTGGATAGTGAACAAGATCGACAAGAATGACATCTTGCTACATATCTACAGTCAGTAATTATTTACCACTTTAAAAATAAGTAAAATCACCAATAGGTAGAGTTCACATATTTTTAAGTTATGCTCCATAGTAGCCTAAATTCCATTTTTACTCTGATTAGTTTCTTTCACTTTTTAAAAAATTGAATTTGTTGAGGTATAATTTATATCCAACACAAAATGCACCCATTTTAAACGTATAGTTCAAAAAGTTTCAACAAATATATACATTTGTATAATGACCAGCTACAATCAAGATAAAGAATACTCATCACCCCCAAAAAGTTTCCTCGTACATTTTTGTAATTAATAACACTCTTTAGGTTCAAGCAACAATTGATAACGATTTGTCACTACAGATTAGTTTTGCCTATTCTTGAAGTTCATATAAAAGAATCACATGGCTTATTTTATTCAGCATAATAATTCTGAGATTCACGTTTGTTGAATGCAGTGTTATAAGGTATGGATATATCACAACTTATCCATTTACCTGTTGGACATTTGGGTTGTTCCTGGTTTGTGGCAGTTATGAATAGTATACCATAAATATTCATGTACAAGTCTTTGTTGTTGACTCATGTTTTCATTTCTTTTTCTTTTCTTTTTTTTTTTTTTTTTGAGATAGAGTCTCACTTTGTTGTCCAGGTTAGAGTGAGTACCATGGTGTCAGCCTAGCTCACAGCAATCTCAAACTCCTGGGCTCAAGTGATCCTACTGCCTCAGCCTTCCAAATAGCTGGGACTACAGGTACGAGCCACCACACCTGGCTCATTTTTTGTTTCTATTTTTTTTAGTTGACTGGCTAATTTTTCCTATTTTTAGTAGAGATGGGGTCCTGCTCTTGCTCAGGCTGGTCTCAAATTCCTGACCTCAAGTGATCCTCCCGCCTTGGCCTCCCAGAATGCTAGGATTACAGGCATGAGCCACTGTGCCCAGCCTCATGCTTTCATTTCTTTTGGGTCATTAGGAAGGATTAGAATTGCTCATATGGTAAGTTTAACTTTAAAAGAAACTACCAAACTGTTTCCAAAAATGGATTGTATCATTTAAAATTATTATCAGCAATGTATAAGAATTCCAGTTGTTCTTCCTTCATCCCTGCCAATTCTTGGTATTGTTGGTTCTGATTATAAGCATTTTCCAATGAGACAGTAGTGCTGTCTCACTGTAGGTTTTTAAAAAAAATTTTTTCAGAGATGGGGGTCTCTCTGTTGCCCAGACTGAAGTCAAACTCCTGAGCTCAAGCGCTCCTCCTGCCTCAGCCTCTGTGCCACTGTGCCTGGCTATCATTGTAGTTTTAATTTGCTTTTTCCTAATGTAGAATGATGGTTGAATATTTTTGCATGTGCTTATTTGCCATTCATATGTCTTAATTAAGTGTTCAAATCTTTTGCCCATTTTTTTCATTGAGTGGTATGTTTTATTATTGAGTTGTTAAGAGTTCTTTATATGCTTTGGATACAAGTATTTATTAGATAATGTGTTCTGAAGCATTTTCTCAAAGTCTATGACTTGTCTTTTCATTTTCTTAACACTATCTTTCAAAGAGCAATAGTTTTACATTTTGATTTTTACTTTTTTGCTTTCTTTTAGCA